CTAATTGCCTTTGATCTCCCTGAGGCTTTGAAGCCTAAAAAAAAAAAACCTCATAAAATGCTTATCTAATTATCAGAGCTCTTGCATCTCTGAAAGATTTCATTAGCCACGCTGTGTTCTGGTTCACACAGCCTAGCTCTCCTGCAGGCGTTTTTGGGTGTCTCCAGGCTGAATCCCATTGCCAATAGGTGCCACTGTTGCTCTGCACACACGTCTGAACCATCAATGCCCTTCAGTCGAAAACCCAACCTTGAAAAAAACAAATCAACATCACAGTGGCTAAAATGCTGCAGAGGTAAAACTCCATGCAGACCATGGCCAGGGGCTTGTCCATGCCAAGACTAAGGTATATGCTTTATCTTGTTCCTAAGAATAATTCTAGTGTAGCTAATCTTGAGCAGAAGTGATGAATTGCATGGAATTAATTCCAGATCTATCAAATCTAAGCCTTTAACTTGCTGCAGGTTTATTGTTGAGCCTCAGCCCAAGAGCAGCTGAGCCTTGCAGATATCTGCTCTGGACCAAACCTGATTTAAATGCAGAAGCTGCACATTAGAGCAATAAGAGATTGGACTTTTGCCAACACTTTTTGCATAGGTCTTTCATGTACTTTCTGAACGGAGTAAAGTCTCAGAGTGGCCTACCCAGCAGTGTAAAGGCCACCTAAAGCTATTTCTTCTAGGTTTGCTGTTTGGTAGTGCAAGGTCAGCTGATGTAGTTTACTTTGCAGCTTATCTCCCATTAAGTGCTGTTCCCTACGTAAAGCCAAGGGGAATCAAGGTCTGCTGCTTACTGCATTGGCAGGAACCTTGCTTCACCTTGTCCTTGGGCATGCAGCTATTTCATGTTTGCTTTATTCTGGGATGTTTCAGATATATTATGGGATAACACAAAGTTCTTTTCTTCTCTTTCTTTGAAGAAATGCATAGCAAGCTGTGTAAAAACGAACAAAGGGCAAAGCAATTAAGAGACTGATATTCTTGCGGCAAGCTGTGTAAAAACGAACAAAGGGCGAAGCAATTAAGAGGCTGATATTCTTGCAGGTTCAATCCCACTCTATTGGATATTTTTTCTTCCTTTCTTCATTGACTAGAAACCAAGAGATGAAAAATTTGTTTTCAGTGATCTAATGTCTTCTGAAACCTTCCCAGCCATCTGCAGGTCAGGATGGAACCCAACAACTTGTTCTAACTCATAAAAATCTCTGTGCCTATATAACCTAATTCTCATTCCTCCTGCACAAACAGCTCACACCAGCAACAAGCTATATTAAGTAGTGCTTAAGATCACCCTAAGCAGTTTACACAGGAGCATCCCTGGCTTTTCTGTCTCTCTCCAGGTGGCAAATAGCTTCAGATATTTCTGACCCCCTTCATAGTCCAGGATTCTCTCACTGTTTGGGGGAAGAAGTCCCTGGTTGGAAGGGAGGTCATGAATTTTGGCTTTGTCTTAGCTGACAAGTAGCAAAAGCAGAAGTCTTTGTGCTTTCACAGGAAACAGTGCAGACACAGCTTCTTTCTTGTGTAGTTTTTCTTTAGGTGCTTGAGAAGCCCGAAGTTGGTGGGTGGTTCATGATTAAATGTTAGAAATTATAGAATTAAATTTTTCTTCCTGGTGGTTTTACTCCACAGTTGTCATGGGAAATGTTTGTACTGTTTGTTCCCAGGGCATGTGTGTCTTCCCTCTGGCTGGAAGGGAACATCACTGTTAGGTATCCACAGGACTGCAGTAAGGGCATCAATCAGGAGTCCTCTCTGGTAGTTATTAAAAAAGTTAGCAGAGCTGTACATTTCCCTTAATTCAGAGACATAAATAATACTCCATGAATTCTCCTGTTAGTTGTATCCCACAGCTCTCCTTGTTTTCAGCTGGTATTGAACAGGGGAGAGGAACCTGCTCATTGACAGTCTCCTTCAGTGCCTCCTGTGGTGATTAAGTATTCCTGTATGGACAATATTTCCACTTTATCAGGCCAAAAAATAAGCTCCTGTCTGGGTAAGAAAGTAGCCAAAAGTCAGCACAAGATCCATTTTCAGAATTAAAACAGAAGGAGGTTCCTGGCTCTAAATCCATATATTGATCACTGCACCATGTTCCATCTGATTAAATTCATGATGCCAAAAGCTACCAAGACTGGGGAAATCTGATTTCTGAGGAATCCAGGCCAACTTGCATCCAGGCCAGCTCAGGCTGTAACTGTGTCTACTGCAGTTATTGTCATACTCTGATACTGAATTTTGGCTTCTTGGTTCCTCCTGGTGGGTGAAGAAGTGCTGCATTGGCAGGCCCTGAAATGAGATGCACATGATGAAATCCTGCTGTTTGTCTCTGTACACAGCATTCAGGTGGCTCAGTGTGCTTTTGAGCCAGGGCTATCACACAGTTTTGTCAGCCCTTGCATTATTTTGCTTTACAATTTAATCCCTGAAAATAAGGGCATTTGCATTTCAAGTAATGTAAATTTCCAGCTAGCTTAAGCAACTGTATCTGTATGTCATGAGATCTGATTAGTCTGATTTCAACACTTGCATCATGGATTTGCAGACACATTTAAGAAGGCTGCAAATGAAAAGCTGATTGTCTTGTGCTGCTTAAGTGTTTTATCGTGCACTGGCATTGCTTATCCTGCCTTCCAGCTGTCTAGAGAGAAGGACAACAATATTCAGGGGTGGAGAGGCACCTTGGTGGAAGGGACATTCTAGTAGATGATAGCTGTGGGAAAAGCATTGTGCAAGATCTGGGCCTCATTGAAGTGGTTTGTTCATATAAATCGGAGGTGTGTTGATTACAATAATCCTGTTTTACCAGCAAGCTCCTAGGGGAGCCCAGGGAAGGCTCTGCAGACACAATACCCAGTCCCAGCTGGTAGAAACATGCTGGTTTTCCTCATGTGCCCTGGTCACCCTCTGAGGCAGAGATTGGGAAACATCCAGAGAGTCCCAAGCACTGTGTGCTGTTTGTCTGCCTGGGGAAGGAATCCTGCTGGAATCCAGGAGAGTCCTGGGGCCTGTCAATGGCCACAGAGCTGCAGTGCCTTCCTGTACACATATAGTTGTTTAAGGATATATAAAATAGGATTTAAGTCTTAGTCACAGATCATCTCTATCTGGAATGTTGGCACGTAAAGTCCCACACTGGAATTTTCTTTGCCTGACCTCAAGTTTCTCCATGGTTGCTTTCCTTAGTGTTTGGTCTGTGAGCTGGGAAGCAGATCAAGGTTGTTCTGTACGTGTTGCTGCTGAGTTTCTTGGTGTCTTTTATAAATGTAAGAGATACCTAAGACTCAGGATAGCTAAGGCAGCCTGGTAATCACAGCAGCTCTGTCCCAGTGCTGCTTCCTTCATCTACACATCTCAAAAGCTCTGATATGGGAAGAAGGCTGAGCTATGTACTTTGCCTCAGATGGTGTAATCAGTGTAAAATTCTGGACTAAGAGTAATGTACAGCCCTTGAAAAACGATCTGTGGTTTGGTGTTAAATACTTTCACTTGCCACTGGGACCAGCACCTGAAAAGGATGGATGAACTATTCCAGCACCTGAAGGGGCTCCAGGGAAGCTGGAGAGGGATTCTTTGTTAGGAACTGCAGTGATAGGACAAGGAGTAATGGGGAGAAATTGAAAGAGGGGAAATTTAGATTAGATATTAGGATGAAACATTTCCCTGTGAGGGTGATGAGACACTGGCACAGGTTGCCCAGGGAGGCTGTGGCTGCCCTAGCCCTGGTGGTATTCAAAGTCTGGTTGGCTAAACCTTGAGCAACCTGCTCTGGTGGGAGGTGTCCAGGGCAGGGGGTTGGGGCTGGATCATCTCTAAGCTCCATTCCAACCCCTCAACATACTATGAATACTATTTCCCCTCCTCCTTTGTTCCTGTTCCTGCTGCAGCTGGCAGGCTCTGCAATATAGTCTGGCATTTTGTTCCAGGAAAAAAATAAATCTAAAGGAAGTAATTTTTGCAGAGTCAGGAGGATTTGCCTGAACAGCTCCAATATTGAACCTAACTGGCATGTTTTCACAAAGTTTAATGTCTAATGATAAAATTTTGCTGAGCTCTTAAGCGGAGCGTGCAATCCATCAAACAGTTCTGCTAGCAAAGATGCTCTTGTTTCTACAGGCAAATGAAACCTATATCCAGATTATTAAAGATACAAGTTATAATAATTACTACATTCTGGAGGGATTAATGAAGCCTCTCTTGCACGGTGATGGTATATATTATTGTCTATATTGCTGTGCAGCTGTATTTAAGTTTTATAGCAGCCTCAGGTGTCTGCCACAAAAAGTGCCACAGCATTTTTAATTGCCAATTTTCTACCCAGTATGAACCACACAATGGAACATGTGCTCAGGCATTGCTTCTGCCCTGACTCAGGGAGAGGAATGGCAGGTCATTAACTGAATTAATTATTGTAGGCCAAGCAAGATGCTTATCCTTCTCCCTTTTATTGCCCTTCTGAGATGAGCCTGGACTCCAGCTGATGTTTGCAGCCATGTGTTACCCCCACAGCACTGGTTCTGACCCACTCTGTTCCTGCTCTCACACCTCCTTCCTGCTCTTACCCTTTTCCTCTCTTCCACCCAGTTTCCAATGAGAGCTTCAGTAGTATTTGGGTTCACTTTTCCACCAATCCTGTCCATCTTTTTGTGATGCAATCACATTTCTTTGTCTCACCAGCACTACCCTCCCTGATTGTTGGAACTGTCCTTCAAGTTATGTGGGTGAAACATGACTCAGTAATCCAGTGCTAAACTGGGGCAGAAAGGAGCTCCAGTCCTGCCAACGTGGGTGCTGTGTGGAACTGCCATGGAACCATTTGTGGTTGTTATTTCCACAGTGACAGTAACCATGTTCTAGGCTGCATTTTACTTATTGTTGACCAAAACAGTGGCTCCTAACCCACTGAAGTCAGCTGAGGTGGGTTTTGTTCTCTGAACTCAGAACTGTCATCTCACCTACTCCTCTGTACCAACACACCACACATGCCTGCATCACACACAGTTTCTCTTCATACAGACACATTTTATTTGAAACTGGAGCAAGCCAGGATGTCCATTCAAAGTACTGTTCTTTACTGACAGAGCTAAAGGGCTTGCAGTATGGTACAAGCTTGTATAAGGTTTGCATATTCCATGTTCCAACTAACAGCTGGAATGAGGTTCTGATGAGCCTTGTTTATCGTTGTTCATGGCTGCCCCTGACTGACTACCCATCTCCAGATATTAAATATCCTAAAAAGATGTTTTCCCTAGGTTTGAGGCATGAACAGACTCATGGAATCTAAGATGTTTACTATAAGCTTTTTAGGAAGGTAACCACGCTGTCCAATCCCCTTTTCCCAGATGGAAATGAGAAACCACAATAATCATATAGGCTTATGATCCCATGGAATCCATCCTCGAGGTGGTACCAGGTCACTCGAACACCATTGTCCTCCAATCTCTTCTTGTACAGCAACCCATCGTCCCGCAGCACGTCGTACTCACAGGTCAGGATGAAAGACTCAGGCAGCTGGTGAACAACAGCATCTTCAGCCAGCAATGGGCACAGGTTGGGCTCACAGAATCTCTTCACTGTCTCATAAACTTCAGCTATAAAATCGATGGGTCCGAGCGGCTTCACACCTCTGACCTTAAATCTCTCAGGGATGTTATCTGGACTCACCCACTTCCTGTACTTCAGCCTCATGTCTGGAGGAATATGAGAGCCCTCCAAGACCTCTTGTATGTGCATTGCATGCCCATTTAGGTAGAGCAAAGCAAAGAAAGCGGCACGTTCTCGGAAGCGCAGAGGGACTCCTCGGTTTTGATGATAGGATGGTAAATTGAAGTCCAGTGCCTGAAGGCCTGGGTAGATCAGGATCTGAGCACGGAGTCTGGGGAGGTCTGACCTGCCTGCAAGGGTCTGGCTAACAGCAGCTGCTAGATTGCCCCCAGCACTGTCCCCACAGACGATGACTCGGGCAGGATCCACCCCGAAGTGCTCGGTGTTGCTCAGGAAGTGCTCGGTGGTGTTCAGGCAGTCTTCGTACGCCGCAGGGTACTTGTGTTCAGGGGCTAAACGGTACCTGGGACACAGAGAGGGACATGTATAAGCGAAGGAGACATTGTTAGCAGCAATCAGGAAATTGTATCCTATGCTGTCGTTCAGCCCTATCAATTTAGGGTGTTTTTGCTCTAGGTTAGGATTTCATGACCTCCTAAGCAGACACTCAGCTTGTGATTGCAGATAAGCTGCAAATTGTGTATTCAGTCACAAAGATTGTCTCTGATGAAGGGTCTGGCTGAGGCATCACAGTTCTTAGTCACACTGAAAATTCCCTCTGTATTCTTGACAAGATAATTTAATCATTTTGTGCCTCTGCTTCCTCTGTGTAAAATGGAAGGAATAGAGTGTGCTTAGTCTTTCTTTTTCTATACACACCAATTGCTTGGAGCATCTTATTACATGTTCATATGCTCAGCAGAAGGAAGACTTTTTTTCACCTAAGCTTTTGATTGGCTTTTATAGATTTCCTTAGTGTGCCAATTATTTCCATTTGGGTCTTTTCTGAGCATCTCATGGCGTGAACAGTTAAGGGCTGTGAAATCTCCATTATCACTATTTGTCTCTTTATGGACTTCACTGATTTCTTTAGAAATTTCTCTGCCATGAAAAGAACATCTCCAAAGCCAGTGCAGCTCTGCTGTGGCACCACAGCAACAAAAATCTCCCAACAATAGAGCTGAGTAGGGTTCACTTACTGCACAGACACCACTACAGAGTCACTCTCCCTGGAGAGGTAGCGACATACTTTTTCATAGGTATCTGGAAAAGAAATACTGTCATTAGTGCTCTGCTTCTACCCTAATCTTTGAGGCAGCATAGGGAATGTTCATTCCAAACAGGCTTCAGACTCCTCCCCAAATCACATGCTGAAATCTCATCAGATGAGAATGTTCTTTCTACATTACTACAATTCCTCCATCAAATCTCTTACCAAGGCTTCCAAATACCCAACCTCCTCCATGAAAGAAGAGGATGCCTCTCCTTCGCCCATCAGAGGTAGCTTTAGGCTGATAAACCCTCACAGGTACTTTGTTAAACTGCAGATCCTGGATAAAGAGCTTTGGATCCAGCCCTAGTTTCCGTCCCTGTCGTACGTATCGGCCAAAAGTGAGTTGGCTGCAAAGTCCAGTCTTCTCCAAAATCCTTCCCTGTTGAAGGTAAAACAAATGAAGGCATCTTTAAAAGTCTTGAGTCAGCCAAGGTATAAAAACTCTGCATCATACTTACACTGAACTGTACATGGGGGAAATTTTAAAGAAACACAGAGCTCTGATTCAGAAAAAATCCAATATTCCCAAGTTCTCACATCCTACAGTCTGTAAAACAATTCACTTGCACTACTCAAATCCAGTGTAATGCCAGAAATTTTAAAAAGGTCATCCAAACTGGCTGCCTTGAGTCTCATTGTAATTGCCAGTATTGCCTGGCACACCTTTGTGCTCAATTTTGTTTCAATTACACTTGATAACAATGAAATATCATATATAAAACCAGCTACAAAACCTTCAGTTCTTCACTGCATGAACTCATATTCCCAAATTAGCCCATAAAACTCAACGAATGTGCAGATCTAAAGTGCAGAGCTGTGTTGTGCAAGTTAGTTACTGCTTTTTATTTGCACAACAGATCTACTGAGCAAAATGAAGCTGTTTCCTTTCCCAATGCTCTTGCAAGCTAGAATACAAATCTGATGTAATAAATAAAGAAAGAAGGAGTCGGGAATCAAACAAATAAACTATTACAGTTCACTGGCTAAACAGGATCCCTACTTTTAATGCCCAGTGAGTCTGTCTTTATCCATTCCCTTGTTGTCACCTGCTGTGGGGGTTCAGAAGGGCTGTGCAGCTTTGTCACTGAATTTAAAGAGGATGTAAATGGTTTAAGAAACTGTGGAGGAAAACAAGATTTGTGTTATAGCAGGGGCAATGTTGTGGCTAAAGGAGTGAGGGAGGAAAGTGAAGATTTTAAGAAATGGAAAGACAGAGGCTGAGTGACAGAGACAGAGTCGAGGAGGGCTCTAATGCCCTTTATGCAATGCTGCCAAAGGGAGTCTAGGGATTAAGTAAAGCAGCCCTAACCGGATTCTGTGCCATAAATGTCAGCCGTGCAGGAGCACTTGAAGGGCTGCGGCTTTCCTTGTGCAAGGTGATTTCGCCTAAAGGTGTGAGCAGTTACCAGGCAAATCACCAGCCCAGCCCTCAATTCGGGACCGCAACCGGCACCGCCGATCGCTGTCTCCACTCACACGCCCCGGCACACTCCTGAGCGGCGAACGGGGTGTCGCGACAAGGGCTGCTCGGGGCAGTGTCCCTTCCAGGGCTGCTCGGGGCAGTGTCCCTTCCAGGGCTGCTCGGGGCAGTGTCCTTTCCAGGGG